GCAGTTCTTGTCAATTTTCGTAAATTTCCACATTTTGAAAACGTGCAGGGTCCAATGCGGGAGGGCGTATGTGTCAAAATGGCGTCCGAAAACATCAAATAACACGAAAATTCGATAATTTTTAGTGATTCTGCCTTGTTTGACCCGTTGTCACGTGAGTTGTCAGTTCTGTCACATTAGGCATGTGGTAGAGAAGCGAAAGCTCCAGGGCGAACAATCGATTAAACGAGCAAGGGGCCTAAACGCCCTTGTAGCATAAGATAGGGCAAGCACACTGAGAAAAAAGTCTGGTTAAAAGTACCAGACCAATCCTAGTTAAACGAGTACTAGTTACTCATACGAGAATCCTAGTAACTCTCACCAGATGATCAGTTGCAGTAACCAGATCGGGTGTTGTGACATTTACCAGGTGTCTGGTTAATAATCCTGGTAAATTTTACCAGACTGTTCCGTAATTGGCACCATACGTAAAACTTCGAAATATTCGTTTCAATTGAAATGTTCGGGTGTCAAAAAGTAAACTGCAACCGGTTTCGTTATTTTCGGAGTCTTAAATCCGAAAGAAACACTGGGAGTATTTCCCTGAGCCAGACACGTAGAGAGTCACCTGGTGGGGATCCCCTCGACCCACAGGCGACGTGGTGGCGCAGTGGTAACGTGCCCGTCTCACAAGTGTGAGATCCCGGTTCGAATCCGGAGGAGAGGAGGAGGGAAAAAAACAATTCAGAGGTTGTTCCTCAACGAAATCGACGTCACATCAGGTTTCATCACTACGAAAAAATATTTTATTAAATTTTGGACTTCTTACTTCAGTTTTGTAAGCACATTAACTAACCAGGATGTTTGGTAAAAACTACCAGAAGGGGACCTGGCGGCATTGTGAGGATAACTATAAATCTGGTACGGTTTACTAGACTGAGGCCAACTAGACAGTTTAGTATTTTTTACCAGAATTCTAGTTGAGTTATATTCTATCAGACAGTCTGGTATTTGGTACCAGGATTCTGGTTATCGTTACTAGACTTTTTTTTCAGTGCAAGTCTCAATTTATTCTTGCATTCATGAGTCGTGCCTCTAATTCATACTTAAAATGACACGTTGAAGAACCACTCTCTCATTCCAGGAGCTTGACGTCACGTTGAAACGAATGTGACGCGTTCCCTCGAGCATTGTGTCACTCGTTTGAATGAAAATAAGCTAAGTTATGGCTGATTCACATCGAAACGAACGTGACATTTTGTCACACTCGTTTGAACGTTACTGGGATGAGAGTGTTTAAAACGTTCAAAATTAAACTTAGTATCGGTTTGTCGTATCTGTGGACGTTTCGCACCCCACCATGCGGCACTACCGTAAACCGGGGTAACTTGAGACAGCAAGGGTAACTTGAGACACTTCTGCTTCTCCACCTATTTAGGAGGTGCCACCTAGCTCGGCACATTCGGAGGTCAAAACTGCCCTAGCACGTGTTTCATACTTGTTTGGAAGGACGATTAAGCGTTTGAACGGCTCACCACTTAACGATTTTTCAATTTTAAGAACTTAAACAATTTAAGAGGAGTGTTACGAGTCTCTCTTGGTACTCGAAACAAGTCTTGTTTAGACTCAAATGACTGCAGTACACTAAGAATCCAAACGCTATGTGTATAGCGTCAATTGGTGCGATGCAAAAGCATTGCACATGAAGTGCAATACCTCCCCATTCCCATGCATTATCATAGGGCATTTTTGGAAGGCATCGCACGTAAGGTGCAATATGGCTATCGCATTGCACGTATGGTGCGATGTCTCAGCTGCATTGTACCATACGTGCTATACTCATAGCGTATGGAATCTCAGTGTATTTCTCAACCCTATTATTTGAACATTCTAAATGTATAATTGGTTTTGAGGGGAAGCCATCACTCATCGGGCAATATTGACTTTTTTTTTTAGAAAATGGTAACTGTACGGGGTAACTTGAGGCACCAAGTTTCATCGAATTTGACGGAAGTTAAGGGGCCCCCCCGTTTATAATAACTCACCTCCTCCGTTTTAACATCATAGCCAAGCCGCATTTGACGGGAATTATTTTTTCACACAGTGTAGAGGGTCCCAAGTTGATATGCAGCTTAAAGTTGGAGTGTTTTCTCAACTACGAACGGACCTCATGAGACACAATAAATCTGAAGGTCTCTAAAAATGGGGAATTTCATGACCTTCCCAGCGAGCTTAATGTCATTGAGATCGGACGACTTTCAGCCCAAGACCCGACGATTTATAAAAAAAAAAACTACGGTGAACACTGGTGAAACAAAGGCATTAAAATTATGCCCTTTAAGGGCGAAAACGACTTACGCCCTCGGAGCGGCGTAAATCGTTTGTGCCTTTTGGCACGGCATTAAAATTTTGCTAAACAATTCCTACGTTATTAACGCCCTTTCGAAGGGTATAAAAGGACTTACGCCCCTTGAAGGGCGTAAAAGAGTGTTTCCCGACATGGTCATCACGTGACTATGTACAAAGAATAATGAGTACTGACATCGAACACGAAACCCGAACGAAATAAGGCAAGTTTCCAGGAAAAACAGCAATATTTCGTACTTATGGACGTTTTCGGACGCCATCTTAGCAACTAAACCCTCCCACATTAGACCCCGTATATTCCTAAATCGAGGAAATTTACGAAGATCGACAAGAACTGCCATTGGACGTGAATCACGAGCCAAATGAACAGAAAACCGTTTCAAAACGCGGAGTTTTGGTATATTTTGACGATTTCGTACGCCATCTTGGCATTTAGGCCCCTGAAAAAAAAGGAGATGGTTGGAAATGGTTACACAAAGTGAACTTCATATAATTTTACCCCTAAACTGTTAAAACAATACAGCGACGCTTGTGAGTACCTCAATATTTCAGAAAAACGAGCCTTTTGGCGGCCATTTTGGACGCCATGTTGAATTTAGGGGCTTAAATGCAAAAATCGAGCTTGGCAACAGGGCGCATCGTTTTCAGCGGGGTCAAATTAATCTAGAATCGCCTGTTGCCAGTTTGTAGCACAAATCGCCTCTCGACATGATTTAGAGAGCCTTTTTCAGGAATCCTTCCCGGTCTAAGACGCGGTCTGGCGTAAACCTACCTTGTATCTACAAACATGGGCCAGTTTTAAGTGTACATGCCACATGCCCTGTTGACTCTTATTTAGCATGTACATGCAATGTACACTCTGTTTTAGCGTGTGCCTAGCAAGGATGCTTCAAATAAGAGTGAACCATGTACACACTTCAGTTTGCAGCGTTAGCGAAAAACTTTCTCCGCAAGGTTTGCAGACGAGACTCACCTGCCGGGCCCGGTGCTCCCTGCGGCCCCTCTGGCGAGGGGGCCGCCACTCCCGTAATCCTGTGTACGCGTTCGCGGGACTACGCGTGTAATCCTACGTAATCTCTCGGAATCTTACGGAATCTCACGGAATCTCACGGAATCTCGCGTAATCTCGCGTAAGCCCCCGTAATCCCGCGTAATCCCACGTAATCCCAAGTAATCTCACGGAATCATGCGAAATCATGCGAAATCACCCATTAAAATGCGTGTATCAACTGTGAAACGCAGCGCCAGCGCCAACCACTGCCAAAAAACGCCTTGCGATGCGGCAACACCCATCACACGGGCAGGGAAGACAGAGACTCCCCCCTCCTCCTGATCATCCCGCTCCGTCCCGTGCCCCCACCCCCGGCCCGGCACGTCTTCCCGCCAATCTCGCCCTGTCGCCTCACTTCTGGACGTGGTTGTTGTTGCTAGGAGAGAGCGTCTTTTCGAGGTAAGAATTTGGTTGTATTTAGACTTGCCATGTAGTAAGAAAGGTTTATGGTGACAAGGAGTGCATCTGGAATGATCTACTTGCAAACATATAATCACAGACGCACAATGGGTGTGTGTTTTGCTTCTCAACGGCCAGCCAGCTAAGGAAGCCGAAAGGGGTTTGGGCGGGGGGCCCGCAGTTTTAAAAAGCGATACTTTCTCCTTTGAAACGGATTGGTTTTAACAGCGCCGTTAACTTACCGTCAGTACTACACTATTTCGTTTTCTAACCCCAATTGCATAGGCGTTCACTGACACTGGCTCGTCTCCTAACCTTTGGTAACAGGTAGAACCTACAGTGTAGCTGAACGCTAGCCAAGCTTGTGAAACACCAGTGAATCATGACTTCGTGTATGATTAATTCATAAACTAGATCTGACTTCGAACTTAACCCTAACAAGACAATTCTCATCACTTATGTCTTCTATTCATAATGTTTGCATCTCTTTCTGCTTTGCAGTGACTCTGTGGCTTGAACGCTAACGCTTGAACTGAGGAGCTCCTCCTATGTTTTTCTGACATCCCCTGTTTTCATGTCATCGCCTATGCCATTGGCTTCTATTAGAGCAGGTATGAATCTGTGACACAATAGTATGCTTATTTAACCTGTATCAAAGTAAACTTTTTGTAGATACACCCGTATTATCTCACTATCTGGCATAACAGGTGCATTATGCAAGAATGTGGTATCAAGACTATTTAACTGACTTCCTTCTCTTTCTAAATTAAATGTAACAATATTTTACGACAAAACTTAACACAATGTTTTATTATGCTGCTTTCCTGTCAGTTGAAGGCCTTGTAGATTTTTGTGATTTTGAGATTGAAATCATAGCATTTCAATCTACAAAACACACAAAGTCCTTGCAATAAATTTTTTGATACATATTTATTTATCTTTTTGTTTTATTTTTTGCAGTTTTTTTGAAACCATAATGGAGAGGATGGATAGAGGTGCCTCGACTGAGCCCAACAATGCCAATGAAGGCGACTCAAACGGTTCTGAAGGTCCTGAAGGTACTGGAGGCGTAAAGAATCAACTTGACAACAACCCTAAACCAGAGATTGATATTGAAACAGTTAGTATTAACTCAAGCCCAACAATTTTATTTTGTAGTTTTTGTCCCGCTATTAATGTTTATTTATTTTGTATTTGTGTTTATTTTTTTAGGTACGTGGAGATTCCTTCTGGGATATTCTGGAAGAATCGTCATGCAACACTCTACAACTGCAAGCATCCTTCAAAGAAATTCTCACCACAATGGGATTTGACAATGTTCGCTCTCTTCAAAGCTTCTGCGAAGAAGATTTCAAGAAGATAGAGAAGTTCATGCAGACCAAGCTGATAAGGATTTTGGATAAGAAATGTCTTCATATGTCAGCAGATAAAAAGCAGAAAGAGCTGGAAAAGTACTATGGATCATTATTTTCTATTCTACCAGAAGAGTATGAGATTTTAGGAGGTCAACGCAGGACAATATTAGAAGCATCTAAAGTTGCTGGCAACCTGCTGACTGAAGCAAACAAGAAGAAAACTCAGGTGGCATCCATTTTCAGAAAATGCTTTGCACCATCCAAACTTACTTCTACTCAAAAGTTGAAGCCTTCTGACAACACCTCAAATGATGAATATATTGTAAAACAAACACAATCTTTAACAGAAAACATCCAGGTATGGTTAGAAACAAATGCTCCAGAACTTTTTAATTCAAATGTTGACAGTGAAGCAACAGAAGAAAAGGTGTATTTAGTTGTGCCTAAAGTGGGGAAAGATCCTTTCGGAAACTTGCTGGCTAAAGTGTCTTGTCCAGTATGTGATCAAAATTTTACCTTTGGCAAAACTGGCCCTCGATGGAGTTCTTCAAATTTCTATAGGCATATAGAAAATGTCCACCACAAGAAGAAGAGAAAGTCCAGTGACTCCAGCCAACAAACTTTAAAGAAAATGTTCAAAAGTAACACTGCTGATAATGAGGAAGACAGTGCTGGTGGAAAGACAATTGAGACAAACAAGACTGTAGATGTCGAGGTTGTTCCAGAAAATGATACGAATCCAACCTCTAGTGAAATCGAAGATCCCTCAGCCAGCAGCACGTCTCAAAATCAGGACCAGGATTTTGTTCTGACGGTGGAAGAGAACTGACCACTTTCTCCCGCCACTCACAAAGAAATTGGTCTCAATACAGCAGGAGTGCCCGGCATCAGACCAAGCTTGCCGAAGCTGCTGAAACCTGCCACAAAATAGACGAATATTTCCCAATATTGAATCAGATGGAGCTTCTCCTTGCTGAAAACCAACGGTTGAAAAATGTCGTCCTGTCTCTAAACAAAAGTTTGCCAAAGAATTCTGACTATGCTACTGATGACATTCCTCAGCTTCTAAAATTAATGTTAGAATGTGCCAAAGCAAATGCAGGTAAAAAACCAGGTGCCCAAAGATTTTTTTCTGTTATAAAAGAATTTGCTACCTTGTGTTTCACTCTTGGCGGACCTCAGCTGTATGAAATATTCCAGAAGAATTTTTTTTTTCCATCAATCACAACTGCAAGAAGGTTCCTGTCTACAAGTTCAAGTACCATTCAAGAAGGTGTCTTCAGAATCACCCAGCTGAAGGAGCGCATGGATAAGATGGGCATCAAAACAAGAAAGGTGCACATCAGTGAAGACGGCACAAGTATAAATGGAAGAGTGCAATACGATATCAGGACAAATCAACTTGTTGGGTTTGTTCCTAAGTTGAGAAATGGTTTACCTGTGCCCAACAGTTTTCCAGCCACTTCTGCTTCAGAAATGCAATCTCATTTTCGAGACAATGCAGTTAGTAAAAATGGATATGCTATCATGGCACAGCCTTAGATGAAAAGTCACCAGCATTTTTTTCTGTCATTGTATGGTACTGACAACAAATTCCAGCACCCCTGATGTATTACAACGGTGGCATTGGATGGAAAAGGCATTTTTAGAGGCTGGTCTTGAAATTGATGGTTTTTCTTCAGATGGAGATGGCAAACTTTTGAAAGCCATGTATTTGAGAACATTTTCATCTGCTGCAAAGTGTAAATGGCCATGGTTTCATTCTTCTCTATCAGTTGATGATGCGGTAATGATTCAAGATACTATCCACTTACTTGTGAAACTTAGATCAAAGTTACTCAAAGCATCTGATATAATTCCCTTTGGCAAGAACCACGTGGCATCAAAAGGGCACTTGGTGGTTTTAGTGAATGAAGTGACAAAAGATCAACATCAGCTTACCAACACTGTCCTGAATCCAAAAGATAAGATGAATTTTAGGTCAGCACAAAAGTTGTGTGACTCTACAGTAACCAAGCTTCTGAAAGATACCGTCCCAGGCAGTGAAGCCACCGCTGTTTACCTTGACATGATGCGAGAGGTGACCGGTGTTTTTCTTGATCAACAGCTGCTGCCATTGGAGAGGGTGTCCATGATATGGAAATGGATTTTCTTTTTGAGACTCTGGAGGAAATGGATCTCAGATACCAACGGTTACACTCTTGCTCACAATTTCATCACATCAAATGCTTACACATGCATTGAACTAAATGGACATGGTCTCATCAAATTAATTCGGAAAAGGAGAGAAGCTGAAGAAGGAGACATCTTCTTACCAAGCATTTGTGGAAGCCAGCAGTGTGAAGATTGTTTCCGTCGTTTAAGATCAATGTCAACTATTCAAAGCTCGGTTGTTGTATTTAGCATGCTGGAAATGCAACATCGCATCAAGCGTATTGACTTTTTGGGTGACACCTTTCTCAAGTTAAAGGACACCGTTCACTTTCCAAGACTTAAGAAGCAATATTGTGGGTCATCAACTGAACAACAGTCAAGTCCAATTTTGCCGGAGGACTATGAAATTGAGGCTACTGTTGAAGCAGCGTTCAAGTCAGCTTTGGAGTTGTGCATCAAATTTGGTATAGCAAAGAGACAAACTCCAGTTCCTCACTGTCCGCTCCCATTGGTATCCGCTGACACTCTTGATGATATATTGGAAGAATTGGTTGAAGATGTGGATACCAGTGTGGATGCGGAACTAATTGATACTGGAGATACTGAAAATTCTGAAACCGTTGCAGAAGATGAACACGATGAAGATTTAATTGATGCAACTGAAGATCTCCTAATAATTTCAAGTGGCTCGCTAGGCATAAAAAGCCATGATGATGTAGTGGTCACACCAACAAGTCCATTTGTTAAAGTTTTAGATGGAAATGGCAAGACATGCATTATCAAGAAAACTTCATTCTGTTGGCTTTTGGGTTCTGGTGACACTTCAATGAGCAGTGATCGACTCTTACGGGTCCAAACTAAGCAAGTTTCTCATGATCCTCTTTCTCTACCCAATGCTAAAAGCTTGATTCCACAGCGAGAAGAAACAGTTTCCATTGGAGACTGGTGTGCCTTCATGGAAGGCAAGTCAATTGTTGTGGGGAGAATTCTTGCCTTTAGTTACATGAGTGGACCAAACTGGCGGAGTCAAGAGTATTCTGCTACTTCAGCTCCAGTGAAAACACCTGAACACTCAAGCAGAGGCCTAGGCTGTATGTGTTCCTGGTTTACGATTTCAAACCGTAAGCTGAAAAGCACATCCATGACAAATCATGGCTACTACAACATTGACAACTATATCTGCACTCTTCCCCGTCCCAAAGTAGTTAAAAAAGACTTAATGCTACAATGTTACCTTCAAGATATTAAGAAACTAGTCAAACCCTGATTGGGAAGTTATGCCAGTATTCTTGTGAATGTGATAATTGAAATGTTGTACCTACATTTGTGAATTTAAAATGTTCGTTACTTTTGCATGTAGTTACAAAACAGACATGGTTCCTCGGTACAGCTGTACTGCTAAATGTGACTTAAATAACATTTTTTATCTATTTATAGTATGATGTATTTTAACATTAGTCTTTTATTTATAGTTTGGTATGTTCCTTGAAATGCTAGGTGTTGTTTCATCAACATCTCACATTTAGTTTATATTTACTCTGTGATGTAAACTTCCAATTTACCAAAACTATTTATTTTGGGTATGTGACAATTGCCATATTCCACATGTAGTAACAAAGTCTACAAGTGTTTGTGTGATGCTAAATACTGTTAAAATAACATATTTATTATTTTATTAATTTAGTGCCTGGTGAATGTCTTCCTAATTGTCTTGTACTTACTCGTGTAAATACTCAAATGACTTACTTCTGTTATGTATACAATCTGTTTGTTGCTAAGAATCGAACTGATTTTACAATAAAAATGTGAATGAACGGACTTCTGACCCAACTTTCTTCCTTAATATGTATCTTCATCTTCAACCAAATCCTAGATAGCTGGATGTTCATGAAAAACAAGTAGAAAAATAAAACCAGTTGGGTATTAAAATATACAGTTCTACATATGTCTGGGCCTCTATTACTTGCCAAGTCACTAATTAAACCAGTTTGGTGGAAATATACTCAGATTAAAAAGAATTTAAATGAAAGTTTTTTGTTTTCTGTGCGGGGGGAGCCTGTTTGTCATCTTCTTGCATTTGGCTCCTAAAAAGCATTTTTAATATCACACAATTTTCTGGTGACAAAAAGATGTGCTTTGAAGTACATATTGTGTCTCACCAATTTTTCAACCACAGACACTTAGACGTGGCAGTAAGGGGAAATTTAAAATTCCCTTTTTTTAAATTTAAAACCGGCACCCCCCAAAAAGGGTTCTTTCCTACCTAAAAACCACCGAAAACCCAAAATTTTGGGGACCGATCGAAAAATATTTGGGGGTTCGCTAAAATTTCTAAAGGGTTTAAATTTGACGTAATTTGAAAAAAAATACAACTTTGGAGTATTTGAAGCCCTGTGCACCCGGGTGTTGGTCCTAGCTTTTTGCCCCCGGAGACTTTTTTTTTCTGGGGATCCGGGCCGACCGAAAGAACCCTACGGGATGCTTTTTTTAGCGAATGGTAACGGAAGGGGTCCATTCTACGCTAAAAAAATTTTTTTTTTCCCTCCGCTTTTAGTGTTTTAGGGGCCCTGCCAAATTTTTTTGCCTTGCGTCAAAAAAATTCAAAAAACCCATGTTTTTGATAAAAAAAAGGTTTGCTCTTTCAAATGGGGGTCACGGAAACAGTCTACGATTTTTGGTTTAGGCTCCAGACCCGGGTTAAAATTTAAAAAAATGGATTTTATTTTAGTGAAAATGAGAGCAAATTTTCACTCTTACTCTGAAAACTCAAGTGTGTGCCAGGCATGCACTTCTTGGTGCATGCCTGCAGGCACACACTTCCTGGTGCATGCCTGGCGGGCACACACTTCTTTTCTGCATGCCTGGCAGGCACACACTTCCTGGTGAAATGCCTCAGGCAACACTTGCCGTCGCTTTTGCATGCATACAAGCAAGTGTGTGGCTGAGGCTTTCACCAAAGTGTGTGCCTGCCAGGCATGCAGAAAAGAAGTGTGTGCCTGCCAGGCATGCACCGGGAAGTGTGTGCTTGCAGGCATGCACCAAGAAGTGCATGCCTGGCACACACTTGAGTTTGCAGAGTAGTCACGTGCGACGTATGGTTTGGCCACTTGCGCTACCCGGCGAAGTGCAGGCGGTGCGCTGTGATGGGAGAAGCTCCTCGGGTAGAAATGGACGGCTTTTATACAGCTGGAAAATTTTTTTGTGCCCAAAAGTAACGCGCTGGCGTTCGAAAAATACATGGATTATGTTTGGACTGTGTCAGCAAGATGTCGACAAAATATTGGGAAATATTTTGTGGACGTTTTGCCAGTCTCTGGCCGGCCGCCGTCGTTTTAAACGACCTTAAAAAGATGCCCAGAAGGCAAAGACAAAATTTTGGGAAAGAGTTGCCGCATCGCTGGCCGCAGCAGCAAAAGAGAGACCACTGGCTCGATCCACAAACCTGCCGCTTGCGAGACAAAGCGGATCTGCTGGGCGCTGGGCCAGAGCGTCATCGCTGAAAAAGAATTGCAGCTGAGCGGTCCGTATACGTATCCACGACCGTGTTTGGGCTCAGCCGGTCCCTGCCCCCGGTCAAGCCCATGATGTCACGATCCAGCGAACTCTGTTGATCACGCGCGGCAAAAACAGCTAGTCTATAGCGTGGAGCTGCTGCGACCTGCTGTGAACGAATGGGAGCAAAGAGGCTGACACAGTCTAAAAATAATCCAGGTATTTTTCGAACGCCAGCGCGTTACTTTGGTCACAAAATATTTACCAGCTGTATAAAAACCGTCCATTTCTCCCGGGAAGCTTCCCCATCACAGCGCACCGCCTGCACTTCGCCGGGTAGCGCAAGTGGCCAAACCATACGTCGCACGTGACTAAGAGTGAACATTTGCTCTCATTTTCACTAAAAAAAAATCCATTTTTTAACTTTAAACGGCTCTGGAGCCTAAACCAAAAATCGTAGACTGTTTCCGTGACCGCCATTTGAAAGAGCAACCTTTTTTCTATCAAAATACATGGGTTTAAAAATTTTTGTGACGCAAGGCAAAAGTTTTTGGGAGGCCTCTAAAACACTAAAAACGGAGAAAAAAAAACTTTTTTTTAGCGTAGAATGGGCCCAGTTCCGTTTCCATTCGCTAAAAACGCATCCCGTAGGGTTTTTTTTTGGTCAGCCTGGGTCCCGAGAAAAAAAAAATCTCCGGGGGCAACAAGCTAGGACCAACACCGGATGCGCAGGGCTTCAAATACTCCAAAGTTGTATTTTGTTTCAAATTTCGTCAAATTTACAACTTTCAGCCATTGTAGCGACCCCTAAATATTTTTTGATCGGTCTCAAATTTGGTTTTCGGTGGTTTTAGATAGGAATGAACCCTTTTCCGGGTGTGCCGGTATGGAATTCAAAAAAACGTGCATTTCAATACCCCTTAGTGGCAGTCTAATGGACTCTCCAGCCTTACCATATCCTGGGGCCGGGGGTTTCAGATGGAGGGAACAGGACATTGAGTAGCCAAGTTTTGCTGGTCGAGGAAGTCTGTAGCTGTAGCGCCTGCGAGGTAGGCCACCATCACGACCCGCAACACACCAGTGTGGAGACGGTGGCCTACCCCGGAGATCGCAGGCGCTACGGCCATTTGGCCGGCGTAGTCCACGTAATCTCACGTAGTCCCACGTAATCTCGCGTAGTCCCACGTAATCTCGCGTAGTCCCACGTAATCTTACGTAGTCCCACGTAATCTAACGTAATCTCTCGTAGTCCCACGTAATCTAACGTAATCTCTCGTAGTCCCACGTAATCTTGCGTAGTCTCGCGTAGTCCAGCGGAATCCAAGAAATCCCGTAGTCCTGTGTACGCAAAAATCCTGAGTGGCGGCCCCCTCGCCCTCTGGCTGCCGCTGCCGCAGCGCCCCGACACTCGCCAGGCGGCACAGCAGCATGCGGGCCGCCGCGTCCTCCGCGGGCCGCACCTCGCCGGTCCAGGCCGCGCCCCCGCACTGCACTGTCAGGCTGCACGTGGCGGCGGGGCCGGACAGGTCCGCCAGCAACTGGGCAGCGCCGCGGGGCAGGCCTGGGGAACGGCACGGAAAGACACACGTAGTGAGATTGGTCGTAATGGAACGCTGCGCCACCTCGCTGGCGAATCAAGGGCATATGAATGACGTCGTAACAGGGCGCTAACGATTTTACGCCACTGGAATGGTGAAAAGCTGATACGGATAGTTCTGAATTGACAAGAAAAGTAAGGATTGTCTTGGATCTGCTCTGACAGTTAGGATTGTCTTGGATCTACCCTGGCAGTTAGGATTATTTTATAACGATGCGTCGAATTGGAACGTCTCTCTGTAACTAAGTGTAACTTTGACTCAAAAAATCTCAAAAAATCAAGAAAGTATGAACATGAAGGTTTCCGAGTAAGATAACAAATCGTTGAGAGAAACTAAGCGAACAGAGTCAAATGGTAAGCTTCAAAAAATACATTTAAAAGTTTTCAGTAACAATTCTAGTAAAAGCTGTGACCAAAAAAAACGCAACAGAGAGATGCTATTATCAGACTCAAACAAAATCTTATTCATTTCAACCATTCTATGACATATTTTCACCTACATCTCACCATAACATAGAATAGAATGATACATTATACTCTTAAAACCTTACGAAGTATTTTGAGCATACATTTAACAAACTAAAATACTTTGATATACGAAGAAATAGTTCGTAAATTACGAAGTATTTTCTTTGAAAGCTTATGTGTGCTCAAAATACTTTGTTATAGAAACTACTTTTCTTTGTTAGGCCAAAATTAGTTTGTAAGGTTTCCTCAGTGTATACAATCGAACGTGACAAAATTCATATTGTAACGAATATGACATGACATCACCCCGAGACTAACAGCATGCTTACCGGCCTGCGCCGCGTCCTGCTTGGCACTCTCCCAGGCGGCCTCGTCCGCGCCCTGCCCGGTCTGCAGGCGCCACTCCGCAGCGACCAGGCCAACCCTCTTCTTCTCCAGCTCGCCGTGCAGGGCCTCCAACTGGCCGCGCAAGTCCTCCAGTGTGCCGAAGGCCTCGTCCACGGCCGCCTGGTCGCGCTGCAGTGCCTCCAGAAGCTGTCCAGCCTCTTCAGCCCGCACCTTCTTCAGACTGCAAACGGAATGGTTCTCCACGCACTCTTGGGTCGCGGTCTTCTGGCAGCTCTGGCACCAAAACTGCAGAGACGTTGTGTCCACGGGCCTAGACAGGAGCACAAAACACAACCATTTGGAGTTTCATATGCTCTCTCAGTCGTTAATTGACTATTTCTCATTGGCAGACAGGGATCCTTAACGTAACATTTAACTAACACTGCTTTCATAACGTAACATGAGACAATGTTCGCTAAAGGTTAAGGGTATGGACTTATGAGAGTACTCGCAAAAGTATATCCACACAAATTCGAGACGTAAAAAACATAACCTACCCTTTTGAAAAGATGTTAGAGGTTAAGGGTAATAACTGTAACTCTTATGATAACCTTATGATGCCCTTATGAGGTAAGTTAAGAATCCCTGTTGGCAGACGTATTTCTGTAACCAACCATAATACTTAGTATTTCATTCTTAAATGCTTACACAATTTCTTTGTTATAAAGTCGATAAGTAATACTGACAAAAAATACTAAGTAATATGGTTGCTGACAGAAATGCGTCTGCTATTGAGAAATGGTCAGTAAAGGGTTGAGAGTGTGCATAACACCGGATGAAATCATATATCTGCGACACAAAATTATTAACTGAGCAAATTCGTGCGGTGCGCTACACACTTAATCCCTTTGCACACGTGCCAGATTCTTTTTGATGTGAGCGCCCTCAAGGGCCGATTCAAGCTGAAACTGTGACTGTTTATTCAGGCAAATGTGACGTCAAAAATCGAGAATACACAATAAATAATGATCAAATCTTAAATTGTCGTGCGAACTACGTACTAACTCGAGCATTTAAGAACGTATGCACAGTTTCACGCTAAGCTTTTCACACAAATAACAGGAAAAGTAGCGATATACATCGGCAACTTTGGCCCGTCCCGTACATTAAGAGACGTACGAATTTCACCTATGTTTGACCCCGACGGAATTAAAACCTGAATCTGGGGTTAAAATTAATGTCATTTTCGTCATCAGCACCCTTAAAAACATCAGAAACAATGCAAAAACTCGAATAAAAAGAATGTTCAAAAAATACCCCGCTGGGATTTGAACCCGGGTCCGAACTTCTCCGATTCGCTCGAAACTGGCACCATTGTTTTTTTCTCGTCGCCCCGATTCCAAAAATACCCCTACGTGCCCTCCTAGCTGCATCCGTTGCCGAGATCCTCCTCGACCCAATGTAGACCACCTGCAGCAGCGCCCCCGGGGCTCGGATCGGATTTGCTGCCACCGGGCGGTTCTTAGGGTCACCCAAGGAGGCTGCATACCAAATTTGGTCAAGATCGGACCACGGGAAGTCCTCGGACGAACGGACGGACGGACGCACAGCAGGGATCTTACTATATGCCCGTCCCTCCGTCATTTTTTTACAATAACAGGAAAAGTAGCGATATACATCGGCAACTTTGGCCCGTCCCGTGCATTAACAAATGTGTGAATTTCGCCTTTGTTTAACCCTGACGGGTTTGAACTTCAGTCTGGGGTCAAAATAGATGTCATTTTCGTCATCAGCACCCTCACAAACATAAGAAACAATGCAATAACAGGAAAAGTAGCGATATATATCGGCAACTTTGGCCCGTCCCGTACATTAAGAAACGTACGAATTTCACCTATGTTTGACCCCGACGGAATTAAAACCTGAATCTGGGGTTAAAATTAATGTCATTTTCGTCATCAGCACCCTTAAAAACATCAGAAACAATGCAAAAACTCGAATAAAAAGAATGTTCAAAAAATACCCCGCTGGGATTTGAACCCGGGTCCGAACTTCTCCGATTCGCTCGAAACTGGCACCATTGTTTTTTTCTCGTCGCCCCGGTTCCAAAAATACCCCTACATGCCCTCCTAGCTGCATCCGTTGCCGAGATCCTCTTCGACCCCATGTAGACCATGATGCACCTGCAGCAGCGCCCCCGGGGCTCGGATCGGATTTGCTGCCACCGGGCGGTTCTTAGGGTCACCCAAGGAGGCTGCATACCAAATTTGGTCAAGATCGGACCACGAGAAGTCCTCGGACGGACGGACGGACGGACGGACGGACGGACGGACGGACGGACGGACGGACGCACAGCAGGGATCATACTATATGCCCGTCCCTCCGTCATTTTTTTACAAAAAATGAACGGGACGGGCCAAAAACTCGAATAAAAATAATGTTCAAAATATACCCCACTGGGATTTGAACCCGTGTCCAAACTTCTCCGATTCGCTTGAAACTGGCACCATTGGTTTTGTCTCGTCGCCCCGATTCCAAAAATACCCCTACATGCCTTGCTAGCTGTATCCGTTGCCGAAATCCTCCTCGACCCCATGTAGACCATGATGCACCTGCAGCAGCGCCCCCGGGGCTCGGATCGGATTTGCTGCCACCGGGCGGTTCTTAGGGTCACCCAAGGAGGCTGCATACCAAATTTGGTCAAGATCGGACCACGGGAAGTCCTCGGACGAACGGACGAACGAACGAACGGACGCACAGCATGCATCATACTATATGCCCGTCCCTCCGTCATTTTTTTAACAAAAAATAAACGGGACGGGCCAAAAAATGAACGGGACGGGCCAAAAAAAAGACGTACACGGTAAAAACATTTTCTGATCTGGTGAAGACTGCACTGCAAAGCCGGTGGAAAGTTTACTTGCCACAAATTTGGAAAGCTGTTTTTAATGCCAAAAATTTTCAAGCTTGGCCATAAAATGCTCCCCAGCTTGCCAAATTTCGCCAGCTTGCCAAAATTTGGCAAGCTTGGCCCGTAAATACTCACAGCTTACCAAAATTTGGCAAGCTTATGATGATTGCCGACCAAAGCTTGCCAAATTTCGAGTCAAAACGGCTTGCCAAAGTTTGTGGCAAGCAAACTTACCACTGGCTTCGCCGTGTAAGGCGATTTCCAGGAGGTTCCTGGAAAAACCAAGAACCGTTTCAACGCTTGTTTTCGGCCGGCAATAACGTAACGATAGCCCGTAAGATTTTTTCCCAAAATAAGGTAAGTGAAAAAGAGACCTCGTCCTCTCGTCGTTTTATTTACGTTCGTGTGCAGGTCAAAATAACCTGACACGGAAATGTAAACAAACGCAGACGTCGAGAAGGAGAAAATCGTTACGTCATTGCCGACGGAAAACGAGCGTAAACCCGGCTTACCCGTGCAGTATGGTGGTAGAATCAAGAGCGGATTTAGATCAGAGCAGTGCACAGCCAAGTGCAGCCTAGGGCTTCGTAAGGTACACCTTCGAATACAGAGTGGCCGCAATACTTCTGTGCTACAATCAAACGCCACGTGACAAGACTTACTTGAACTGAATCAGGCTATAGTTGTCAGGCAAATTCGACGGTAAGCTCTGGAATCGCTGGAAAGAAATAAAAAAATTGAAATGAATCCATTACCAGCCAACCAGAGCATTGACTAACTTCTAGAAGTCCCTTAAAAAATTTGAAGTGGCAATTCGACTATGGGTTATGAACCAGAACTAAAAAACAAAACTAGTGCCGTTGTGCTAGAACTTGGTGACTCTTCCTACTGCATCATGGGTCGCCATTATGTAGAAAGTAACGATTGAGAAAGGCTGCTGGAATTCACTGTCTTTCATTTTGCGATACTTTTACTACAATTTTTTTGCGATAAAACCGAGTTTGCGATTCCCACGATTTATCGCATCCTGGAGTGCGATAATTTTGTTATTGCAAATTTTTTGCAATAACCACCCCATAATTTTAGCGATAAAAGAGCGTTTTGTAGTAACTTTTATCACATTTTTTTCTGCGATAACTTTTTATTGCATTTTCTTTGTAGTCATTATCGTAAAAAAAGTGATACTTTATTGCAAAATTTAGCTATAAATTTTTATTGCAGATTTTAGGTTGTCATCATAGCAAAAAAAAAATGTTATAAGTTTTTTATTGCAAAATATAGACAGTGGTTATCGCAGTTTGAATAACAGTGAGCTCACCTTGTTGTCCAGCGGGCATTTCCTGATCTCCAGCCCCTGCAGACACCTGAAGCAGAACGAGTGGCCGCAGGGCAGCACCTTCGGCCGGCGCTCGGTGGAGTCGAAGGGCTCCAAGCACACGTGGCACTCCATCTGCAGAGACACGCAACTGTCACACTCCTCCCTTGCGAAACTGGAGTGTGAAGGCACACAATTGCTCCTTGATTGTGAAAAGAAAACAGACACGCTTCTGGCAGGGCCTGAAGTGACGAAGAAGAAGAACATAGACCGGAAACAGTACAAGAAATCGGCCTTTTTCGGGTTTCTTTATGGCAGGTTTAAATCAGATTGTATTATAAGATTAAGCTTACTTGAATGTTTAGATTGAGAATAAACATTCGTCATCAAGAAATAAGCGTTATTTGACAACTGTTTCCGGCTTGTGTTCTTCTAGTTCGTCACTCCAGGCCCTGCTACACTGCAAAAATTCAGTGTCTGATACGGATCATGCTACGGCGGCGTTCCGTATACCCCCTGAAATGGTGATACGGAACATCTGCCGTACCACCTCTCCTATCAGAGCCCGTGCTTTGTAAAGCGTGGTACGAAAATTTAACGGAAAATGTACCGCTTATTTAAGTCCGGAGGTTGGCGTTTCGGTTTTCCGTCTGTGAAAAAGTCCAAAATGCTCTACGGACAGTGTGGAACGGACGCTCCGTAACTCAAACTTCTGTAACGGATAACGTGTAACGGCCAGTCCGTATCCCTACGGTACGGAGTGACCGTTTCATGTGTTCCGTAGAGAACTTTGCGTTACGGAGCGACCGTTCCTCACGGTCCGTAGACCATTTTGGACTATTTCACAAACGGGAAACCGAAACGGCAACCTTCGGTCTAAAATTAGCGGTACATTTTCCGTTAAATTTCCGTACCACGCTCTACAAAGCACAGGCACTTATGGGAGGAGTGGTAAGACAGATGTCCGTATCACCATTTCAGGGGGTATACGGCACGCCGTAGCATGCTCCGTATCAGACACTGATTTTTTGCAGTGTAGAAGTGTCTATTGTTGGTAGCTATGTGCACTGAAAACTCCTACTTGAAAATGCTCATTTACTTTCACTCAACAATCACCGAGCACTCGTTTGATCTTGGAAAACTACAGCCGTTGAGATGGCAGCACCGCGCGAGTGCCCCCAGGCTCCGTGGCGACCCGGGATTCCCAGGCGGTGCCTGGAAAATAGGCCCTTTTCCTTATGATGCGCCTGGGAATCCCAGGCGGTACTTTTGCCGTGTGCAGGGTCGAGCGTCGCGTATTTCACGGCGTATTTCTCACAGCGAACAATCCCGGTGCTGCTTACTAGCGGCCAAGACCCCAAAGTTAAACCGCTCAAACACCAAAAATTTGTTGTCACTAAATTAAAGAAAATGTGAATGAAATGATCACTTCTTGCTCAGGATGACAATTGACACCTATGTCATCATACTTTTTGAATGACATCCTTGAAAGGGACAGTAGCCTTGAAATGGTCATCATGTGACAGATTTTCAGGGTGAACCATCAAATCCAGATCTGCTGACAAGAGCTGAGGGGAAATGAGAAATTCAGACGCACAAGAAATAAATGTACCACTGAATCGTCTGGTTTTCTTGATCCTCCGCCGCTCGTGACCTGATTGGGAGTCTAAAAATCAGCCAAAATTTGCAGAATTCTTTTCATAGCAATTCTAGTCTGGTAAGAGACAAATTTTGAGAGATCGGAAAGAAGTAATGAAGTTTATCGAAACATGAAAGTTTTGTTCCCGGCCATGGCTGCAAGTAATGGGATATCAAAGCCGAAAGTTAAATGTGTAGGCCTGGGATGTCTTGCACAGCATGAGCCTATTGGAGGCCTTAGGCTTTGCCAGTGATGCAAAGCGGCTTCTGTTAGACCGACGCGGTCTAATTTTCAGCTTAAACGTGTTCGGGGCCGTCCATAAAATACGTAACGCTTTTTGAGGCAATTTTGACCCCCCCGCCCCCCTATGAAACGCAGCGTGACGCTGCCTTGGACCCCTCCCCCCTCCCCCGGTGCGTTACGTGACGAATTGCTAAAAGGTTAAAAGCACGCAGAAGCTGTCAAAACGTACGAGGAAACCACAATTTCACGCTTTTAAGTGTACGCGTGTATGGGTCGATTTGCGTTACATCACGCCGGGTCGAACCCCCCGCCCCCCATGAAACGCACCGTAACGGAAGCTCTGACCCCCTCCCCCCCTTTAGGTGCGTTACGTATTTTATGGACGGCCCCTTCCTCGAAGAATCGAAGTGGATCCAACCAAACAAGGCATGGTTAACATGAGCAGGCAGAGGATTACTGTCATAAGGCACTTTGGAGAAAACCTACACCGGACGGCAGCGGCAGAACGCGATAAACAAAAGAGCGTCGCGCGGCCTGTGCTGAGCGGTGGTGGGGATCGAAATAGGCGGAGTAGGGGTGAAGGCGGCGCGCGCACGCTGCCCCCACCACCGCTCAGCACGGCCTCGCGACACTCTTTTGTTTCTCCCGTTCTGTCGCTGAAATCCGGTCTGAATGTCCTCCGAAATACCCTCTTCCACGAGTTGGCCAGATCAGGATCTTGAAAAAAGGGTGTCGACCGACTGAAAATTTTTATTACAGTTTTCGATAGATCTCGCCGAGACCTTTTGAACGAGTGGTTGGAAAAGGGGGGGGGGGTGTCTTTGAGCTCGCCGTCGGCAGTAGGCCCAATCACTATCTTCGCAAAAGGGTTCGATAGGTCTGATAGGGTACTTTCGTAGATCCTGAACCGGGAGCAAGCAGACCAGCAGACGCCAAATTGGCCGGAAACTAACCTCTCTTCGGATCTAAAACTAAAGCCGAGCTGTGCAAATATCGCTCGCGAAACACATATGCACAGCAAGCAAGTATCAAACGACTGTTCATGTTCAAGTGTGGCCGATACGCTTGACTAACGTCTCTTTCCCATGTCAAGTTTGGATCTACTTCCGCTAACATGGCGTCTGTGTGCTTCCGGTTCAGGGACCTACGAAAGTACCCTATTGATCAAATATCCTACTTGAAACCATTACCTCAAAGTGTTCGTTTCATTGACTTTACATAAATTTCTGTGCCAGCTTGCCGAGGGCAAGTAGTAAGCGCCGCAGGCCAAGGCAGGTGTAAACGCCAGGCGTGGATTGACGTGACTGGTGCAGCATCGCGAAGCCTGTTCGACAAGACACGGTCTCGCGTACACCTACCTTGATTGGATAACACATTCAGGGGGAGGGCGATCATGCAAAGGATAATTTCTTTGAAGCCTACGAAGAACTTCCTGCGAAGTATTTTTCTCCCAATCGCAAACAAATAATTTGAATCATGGACGATTTCGTGTGTGGGCTACGAAGCCCCCGTTAGCATTGCGTGAAGCGTTCTATGCAGGGTTTCAAGAGAGACCGCGACAGAGGATGACACCTAACAGTACACACCTTTTATTGGGCTAATATCTTTATCCTCCCGCATATTAACTGACTTCCGGTCTGAGCCTTCTCCTTATTTCCCTCATTTAGCCTCAGAGTTTCATGCTCTTGGCGGGTTTGTAATCTTTTACCTTCATGATCTCAACGTACACGGTGAAAACGGTACCTGGTTTTCCCAGGAAGCCTATGGTAGAAACATAGGTAATTTCCAGGAAGTTCGTGGGAAAACCAGGAACCGTTTGAACCGTGTACGTACTTACGGTTGCTCGGCACTCAGGAAGTCGATCGCACTAACCTCTCACCACCACAGGCGAGGACGACACGAGTCGGCAGGACGATTCTGCCGGCGCCGAAAGTCCAGCGAACACCTGCAACAGCGCCAAGGCGGCGAAGGCGTCTCGGGGCCGCGAGAACGTCCGACCGCGACCGTCCCAAGCACTCACTGTAGTCTCACTGGAGGAGGAACGACTGACGAGCGCATTCCACTGACAGCACGTCGACCGTCCAGTGCTATACTGCAGTGTCAGCAGCGAGCTGTTCAGCTCTCACTCTCTCCCTATCCCCCACCCCCTAATTCTCTCTCTCTCCCCACACCCAGGGATCCTTAACTTACTTCATAAGGGCATCATAACGTTATCGTAAGAGTTTAAGTTATTAACCTTAACGTCCGACATCTTTTCAAAAAGGGTAAGTTATTTTTTGGTGTTTTGAATTTGTGTAGAGATACTTTTGGAAGCACTTCCAAAAGTCCGTACCCTTACCCTTTAGCGAAAATTGTCTTATGTTACGTTATGAAAGCAGTGTTAGTTAAATGTTAAGTTAAGGATCTCTGTCCACAGCTACACACACACACACACACACACACGCTCCCCTAATAACACAGTTCTTACTGGCAGAGCGAAAGCTAAGCCATTTACTCGATTGCGGCTAACAAAACCTGGTAGCTTCGACTTCATGCACGGTAAAAACGAGGGAGGAATCACTCGCGTAATAGTCGGGTCACCGATTCCTAGTATTACGCGTAATAGTAGCGTAATAGCCAAATTTCTTAAAATTTCCCCTATTTAGGATCCGATTTTAGCCTAAATCTGGATATTTTTGAGCGTAATAAGCCTTCTGTAATAGCGTAATAGAACGTAATAGGGAGTAGTCGGGTCACAGTTTTTAAGAGTGATTTCCCCCTCGGGTAAAAACGGTTCCTGGTTTTACCAAGAAGCCCTTTGGCTTCCCGCATTAGACATAGGCGATTTCCGTGGAGTTCCTGGAAGAACCAGGAACCGTTTTTACCGTCCACCTGTTCTACATACAGGGTGGCCCATCGACCCCGTCGGCTTTGGAAGGTAGGCCACCCATTTGACACCACGCAGGGAGTAGCGACGACGTCTCCCACTGCCCCCACTCCGTCCTTTCCAGTGGCGCGCTTGCTCGCGCAGTCTCCCCTCCCCCTCTCGCCCCAGTGTTGACGTCTGCCGCCCTGAGCTGCGAGTGACGCGCAGTTCAGAAAGTAAAAATCAACAATCAGTTTTGCAACATGGTGAACTTCACCAGAGGGAGTACTATCAGTGGCAAAAGAATTGACCCCCCCCTGTGGCGATACTCCGCGCGCAAGTTCCCAGTAAGGTGCAGCCCTCTGGCGGCAGTTATCGGCAGCCACGGCCATAGCTGCCCACTTCGCAGTTTTTAAAAGATTCCGTTACTTAATTTGGTATCAGTGCGTGACGAGACAAATTTCTTTCGGTTGCCAAAAGTGGCAGACATCCTCCGAGGAGACGCACACGCTGTAAGCATCAAGAAAATTAGGAAAATAAAATTATAACGACAAGTGAGGTTATGGGACGCCATAGCAAAAAGGCCCTTTGGGGAGCAAGCCTGTGTAAGTAGGATCTACCGGCGCCAAAAAAGCACGCCTTGATTCAGCGATGCATTTACTAATAAACTGCAGATAAATTACACGGGAGTAAACGCATCCAGCTAACGCAGCCTGAATCCAATTAAGTGTTTGAAATGAGTTTTCAATCTCAGGTAACGAAGCCCTTTTTCCCGTCAGAGCAGGTCCCACGAGCAGCGCGCCCGCGAAACTGCGTCATATGAAATAACTTATATGGGATTCTGAACTTCTTGTCGCGGGCCCCCACAACGCGACCATCAAGGGTTCGAGTGGGGTTTTCAATCCTGTGTAAGTTCGGAATTTTCCGGTCAAAGACGACACCACTGACGGGACGCAGCCCGAGCCTTGCAATCCGAACACAGTTACGCGACATTTCAAACAGCTTGTCGGAGCCCTGGCGCAATCCTGGCCCTAGCCCGGTCGAGGGTTGAAATGAGAGCGCAATCCACCGTAACTAAGACATTTTCCGGTCAAAGACAGCTCCACCGGCAGGGCGCGCGCCCAGCTGCCTGATCCGAACAAACTTATATGGGATTCTGAACTTCTTGTCGCGGCCCACACAACGCAACCATCAAGGGTTCGAGTGGGTTTGCAATCCTGTGTAAGTTCGGAATTTTCCGGTCAAAGACAGCTCCACCGGCAGGGCGCGCGCCCAGCTGCCTGATCCGAACAAACTTATATGGGATTCTGAACTTCTTGTCGCGGCCCACACAACGCAACCATCAAGGGTTCGAGTGGGTTTGCAATCCTGTGTAAGTTCGGAATTTTCCGGTCAAAGACAGCTCCACCGGCAGGGCGCGCGCCCAGCTGCCTGATCCGAACAAACTTATATGGGATTCTGAACTTCTTGTCGCGGCCCACACAACGCAACCATCAAGGGTTCGAGTGGGTTTGCAATCCTGTGTAAGTTCGGAATTTTCCGGTCAAAGACGACACCACTGACGGGACGCAGCCCAAGCCTTGCAATCCGAACACAGTTACGCGACATTTCAAACAGCTTGTCGCAGCCCTGGCGCAATCCTGGCCCTAGCCTGGTCGAGGGTTGAATTGAGAGCGCAATCCACCGTAACTAAGGCATTTTCCGGTCAAAGACAGCTCCACCGGCAGGGCGCGCGCCCAGCTGCCCGATCCGAACAAACTTGTATGGGATTCTGAACTTCTTGTCGCGGCCCACACAACGCAACCATCAAGGGTTCGAGTGGGTTTGCAATCCTGTGTAAGTTCGGAATTTTCCGGTCAAAGACAGCTCCACCGGCAGGGCGCGCGCCCAGCTGCCTGATCCGAACAAACTTATATGGGATTCGGTTTAACTTCAATTTTGTCACTCAAGTATTTTGTGATTTAACCAAGTTTTTTTTTTAACAGTGCGCGAACCTTTCCTTTAGATCTTAAAAAAGTATGCCGGCATTTGGAATGCATAGTTTTTTGTGCACAATCGGGGCTTGCAATTAATGAGGCTCGGTTTTGTCTTAATGACGCTTTGTTTTTTGTTTTTAAATTTATTTGTAGGAAAAAGGTTGACAGAAACCAGCGTTTTAAACACAAACACATTATTTTTCTTCTTTATTGCATAATTATTTGCATAATTTCATTATTACACGCAGTCATTAAGGTGCATTGGTTTAAATTCCTTGTCTAAAATTTGCCCCCCTAATAACATTAGCAGTCCTCTTAGGAAGGTGCGATCTTGCTTCTTTAAATGCGCATTGAGTCTGTCTAAGTGCTCATTTTTTATCAAAAACAGATTTTGAGCCGTGATGGCATGAGCTAGGTTCCGTCGCTGTTCCGCATCGATGGGGGAGCTCTTGTTGCACATTAGAGTTACAAGGTGCTGCTTCGCATTTCTTCCCATAACAACCTTCTCACAGAGAGGACAAATAAATGTCTTTGGCCCTGTGGTCGTCTGAACGGAACCCTGGAGCCAAAAACGGTGGTTAAGGAATGAATTTTAACATGACAATAAAATCCATCTTACATTCTTATAAACTTACAGTGTAACTCTCTGGTAGTGGAAACAGTTTACCCAACTTTGAGTAAACCTCATCAGTAAACGTAATGTAGCAGCCTTCCGGATACATAATCACTCCAACATAGGTAAGCAAATAAAAGAGGACGGTGAAGCTATTATGAGAGGTCATTAGTCCCCTGAGATGTGACAGTGTCTTCTTATCTAAAGGACGCATGCCCTTAGCAAAATAAAAAGGCCAGGAGCCCTTTTTTTGCAGTGCTCCACGAAGCTCCGTGCTTGGTGGAACGACCTCCATAGAGGGAGTAATATACACAGACTCAAACTCAAAATTCCCCTGAAAAATAAAATAAAATAGAATTTGCTTGTTTCTGAATAGTTACGAAAAGGAATTGAAGGATACTCACAGTTAGCAACTTTCTAATCAAGTCATCATTTGACTTCTTGGATATAAAATCCCACTGGGGCTTAGTCATGGCAGCGGCTAGTCGCTGAATGTCTAGTTCCTTATATTTCTGAAAAAGTAAGAAAACGTATTTACTCTCGGTAACAGTGATCCCTCTGGTGTCATTAAGGGCAGCCGAATGATGGCAGTAAGAGGCTTTGCACTAAGCAATGCCAGAACCAAAAACGCCACAAAGAGAGCTACAAAATTCTTTACATAATTTAACGGTTATACATACCTTTGAAATATAGTCTACCACGTGCCCACAAGCCAGGCAAGAGAAAGGCAAAGTTTGACAGCCAATTTCCGCTGTCACAAGGTTCTCCTGCTTTACACCGGGCAGCGGCACCTGGACAGAAAGGAATGTTAACATGGGAGTGCCAGAGCGGCGGCTGCACAGTGGGCCAGAGGACCGGTGGGGGCGGCAAAAATTCTAGACGCGTTTTGAGCGCCAGTGTCGCTAAATGGGACTCGCAACGAACGTGTGACCCCCACTAATGGATTGTTCTCCGAACAAGGAATCCATTGGTGGGGTCACACGGTTGGGTCGAGTCGAGTCCCATTTAGCGACTCTAAAGCACAGAACGCAACTAAGTATGAGTGACCCAGTGTGAGTTGGGACAGTCGGGAACGACCAAAGGCCGAGGCAGCCCCGTTAACAAGCATGCACAACAGGTTGCCTACCTGCTCGGTCCTCGCAAGCAATCCCACTCGGTCCGAAACTACTTTCACAACAAATCACAAACTAATGGCCTCTCGAAATTTAAATTGGTTTGGAAAAGAATGCATCATGATGGGTTGCCTACCTTCGCCTCTGTAGTGGGCAGGCCGAGATCCAACTGGCTCGCCGGGTTGCCCTTCTTCCCAGACACGGCCGACAGGTCAGGCAACTTGCTTGGCGGTGCAGGCACGGCTGGTGGCACCCAAGAGGCAAAGGCAGAGGCAGAAGGGTGCGACGCTGTCATGCTAGCCAAGGACGCAGAAACTCCGACCTGATATGAAAAAGATGTTTGTTATTTTGCGCCAGAGTTACTTCGACAGACAGCGGTAACGCAGAGGTTTGCCACCGAAAGGCCGCGAGACGACAGAGACAAATGGGTTGCCTACCTTCGCCTCTGTAGTGGGCAGGCCGAGATCCAACTGGCTCGTCGGGTTGCCCTTCTTCCCAGACACGGCCGACAGGTCAGGCAACTTGCTTGGCGGTGCAGGCACGGCTGGTGGCACCCAAGAGGCAAAGGCAGAGGCAGAAGGGTGCGACGCTGTCATACTAGCCAAGGACGCAGAAACTCCGACCTGATATGAAAAAGATGTTTGTTATTTTGCGCCAGAGTTACTTCGACAGACAGCGGTAACGCAGAGGTTTGCCACCGAAAGGCCGCGAGACGACAGAGACAAATGGGTTGCCTACCTTCGCCTCTGTAGTGGGCAGGCCGAGATCTAACGAAGACATGAAGTTGAGCCGCCCAAGCGGTAAGGGCTGCCTCCGGACAGGTTTTTGAAAAATTGAAATCTGAAAGCAAGAATTGATTTTCATCATAGCCTGCAAACAATCTTAGTATACCATAATGTTATATCGGTTAGGACCTCCAACCAGCAGGAGCTGCGCCAAGGGTCCGAAGCCCTTGCTGTTTCTCTGAACACTAGCCTCAAGCAGCTAACCAGGCGCGTTCTTTAGTTGGCTTACCTGCGTCTGAAGACGAGGCTGGCTATTAGAGATCCTTGACGTAATGGGCATGACTGGGGCCTGGAGCTGAGACGTAATGTTCTCCTGCGGCCTCCCAGAACGCGCATCAGTAATCAAAAAACCCTTTAAAAAAATCAATTTTTAAATTAGAACTTGTGGCCGGGAAACAACCGCACTAGAAAACCAAGGGAAATGTTACTGCACTGGAAGTGAAATGTTATTAGAGTACTTGGGTGTGCCGGCTCACGGCTAGCTCGCACCGGTGCCAGTGCGGCGGTATCAGCTGGATCAGTTGCCATCCAAGCAAGACGAGCGGTCTCGGCCACCGCAGCCGCAAAGCCCATGGGCCGGCATCCTAAATCTCTAAATATTTCGACTAAGGTACTACCTCAGTGTCCTTACTACGAAAAATTGTAAAACACTGAAGTTGCATACGTTACCAACCTCTCCGTGGGCAGCACGTTGAATGAGCAGAGGCTTCCTCAACATAGCTGTAGTCAAAGCGGCAGAGGGGACAGGTGAGATAGCAGCCAACGAGCTATCGAGAGACGCAAAGGGCTGAACCTGCAGGGGAAATAATTTAAGTATTGTCAGGCAGATTCTTTCAAACGTTAGGCGGCAAGGCAGAGGCTGGGATCCACTGGCCAGAAAGAAGAGAAGTATGGTGGGCTGCCTACCTTCGCCTCAGTAGTAGGCAGGCTGAGATCCAACAGGCTCGTCGGGTTGCCCTTCTCTTCAGGCACGGCCGGCAGGTCAGGCAACTTGCTCGTAGGCAGCAGCACGGGTTCCGGAACCTGGAAAAATAAAACACAAAAACAATTATTCATTTGAGTCTGCAGTTCAGAAACAGCCCTACAGAACATTATTGCAGTGCTTTGTTACAGTTAGAAAACGGAACGCTAACGCAGTGCCTGGCGTAGGATAGGTTGCCTACCTTTTCCACAGCAGCTGTGGACTCGTTCGACGTGCCCGACGACGTGCCCGACGACGTGCCCGACGACGTGCCCGACGACGTGCCCGACGACGTGCCCGACGACGTGCCCGACGACGTGCCCGACGACGTGCCCGACGACGTGCCCGACGACGTGCCCGACGACGTGCCCGACGACGTGCCCGACGACGTGCCCAACGACGTGCCCGCGACGTGCCGACGACGTCCCGACGACGTGCCGGAGACGTGCCCGACGACGTGCCGCGTGCCGACGACGTGCCCGACGACGTGCCCGATGCCGTGGTCGTAGACAATGTCCGGGACGTCACTTTGCGCTTACGATCCGGAACCTGTCCAGAAAAGACGCGTTTATCAATAAAGAATAGGGACACACAATGACTGACACAGGTATCTGCTCTCAAATGTGAATAAGAATCAAACTTACTTTCAACACATTAGGAGGCTCTGAGTCCGGGTTAACACGTTTCATACTTCGAGTTTGACGCACAAACTCAGCCATTTCAACGATTGAAGGCACCTGTAATCGTTCAAGACGCAAATTACTTCAGCTGCATATGTTTCGTCACATTACAAAAGAAACGTCGGAACAAGGAATTCGCTAGCAGAAACTCAAGACTTGCGCCTGTAAAGAACTGCAACAGTTCAACATAGTTGACCGGCAAAAGGAAGTTTGACGGCAACGCCCGATAGGCAGACAGGGGGGCCAAGCCCGGGAGACGGAGTGCTGGCCAAAACCGGCCGCGTAGCCGAGCGCGTCGAGGGGCTGGACTATAACGTGCCACCAAAACGTGCTACAAACGGCCGCGTGGTCCCCCTCGAGGAATCCGGGATGCAGCAGGCTGATTCCGAGAGTCGTTTTCGTCGCTCTTTCTCTCTCGCACCGAGACGGAACACCCCATGAGTGTTAGAGAGAAAGAGCGACGGGAACGACACTCGGAACAGTCTGCAAGACGTGACCGCCCCAAGAGCGCGCAGGGATGACATTAGAGTAAACAAAGTTAGGCCGTTCATCGGGGCGTGTTCTACGGAGACACGAGGCCGCCGCCGAGGAGTCGGCGTGTTGCAACGGCACCGCCAAGGACAAGACAACGCGCAGGCAGGCAGCCGCGCCACTGCCGGCGAGAGGAAGTGTGACTCGACGACCTGCGTGGTCGCCGTCAACGCGCCGACGTGCTAGTCGCGGCCCGCCACCGCGGCGAGGGAGTCGAAGTGGGCAAGAAGGCCGGGCAACTCGACATGCGACGGGACGGCCGACGGAGACGTGCGACTCGCGGACGGACACGAGGCCGCCGCCGAGGAGTCGGCGTGATGCACGCGGACAACCGCGCTTCCAAGGACAAGGTCGGAGTACGGAGCAACCCTCTGGCCACCAACTGACTCTTGGCCGCCCGCAATTCTCGGGAATAGAACGATTATCATCCACAAAATCACACGTTGACGAAGTCAGAACCCACCTGGATTTCGCTGACAAGTCCGCTTCAACTGGCGTAGAACAGAATGTTTGCTGACACGTCCGCTTCAACTGGCGCAGAACAACAGAATGGGACCGGGCGAGGCCGGTCGCAAAATCTCTTGCCCCCTTCCCCTTTCCCCCTCGGCACGCTTCGCTCGGCTAGCTCGGCCTGGCTGGGCCTACTGTGGCCGACTGCGCTCGGCTCGCCGCCCGGCCGTGTGCCGCATTCGTGCCGTCCAGGCCAGCTTTCGTCTCCAAACGAGCCCGCACAATCCACACGTGAACGGTGGTCGCGTGGGCAAAGGCGTCGCCCGATCTCCAAGCGAGATGAGAGGACTCGGGTTCGTCACCCACTCAGGTGAAAAATTTTTCGCCGCCGCCTTTCTTACAGTTGGTAGCACTGAGTGTCAAGTTCGTACTAGAGCCTTTGGTGGGCGCCGTCTGTTTCTCTCGCACATCCTCCGGAAAAATAGCTCAGAGCACCCCGCGCTGTAAAATCCCCCGCCCCTTTCCCATTCCTCTCGGCCCACTCAGCTCACCCGGCCCGCTCTGCACGCTCGGCCGTGCGCCGCATCTCGGCCGCCCTGCTCTGCACCGCCACACCTGCTCAGCGCTTGCCCGCCGGCAACAGCCCAGAAATGCTCGGAAACATCTGTCTATCCCTTCGCTCTGTCTCTCTCGCACGCACGGGGTCCTTATGATAGGTGCGAGAGAGTCAGAGTGGCAAAAACGACTCCAGACGCGGATTCGCGGGGGCTGGGTGGGGGGTCCCTTCTTTCCCCCATGGTAGGCAAAAATTAGCACATTGCCCCTGCAAGTAGGCAGCGTTTGCGGCATTGCCCCGCCCCCCCCCCTCCCCGCAAAAAAAAGAAAAAAAGTCTTTGGATCCGCGCCTGAACGACCATAGGATTCAGTGGGGTAGCGCTTCTCGTGCACTTCGAAATCTCTGCGCCGCACGATCCGAGTGCGACCAACTGCCCAGGGCGCGTCGGCGTGCTGCACGCCAACTAAGATCGTGGACGCGGCCAGGTGCCAGAGCATACCAGACTGAACGCGTGCAGCCTGGCGTCCACGAGCTTGGTTGCCGTGGGGAACGCTACGCGGCCTGGGATGCGGCGCGCGGCGCATTCGGATCGTGCGGCGCAAGGAGCGCGGCGGACTCGGACTTCAAGACCCGGGCGGGAAGGCCCGCTTCATAACTTATATGGGATTCTGAACTTCTTGTCGCGGCGCACACAACGCGACTCGCCGTCGGTGCCGGTCTGCGTCAAGCACTTCTCCACGTATTGCATGAGTGAGGCAGTGCACGACGTACTTTCTCCCCACTGAGCTGCGCCTGCACGCCGTCAAGCAAGCACCTGCCCGAGTGCGACCAACTGCCCAGGGCGCGTCGGCGAGCTGCACGCCAACTAAGATCGTGCGCCAAGCCCGACGACGTGGAGCATTGACTGGCACGGTGCGGCGCAGACCGGCAGGCGGCCTGGACCACCTGGACGTCCGCGACTGTGCTGATCTACACGACCAGCCTGCGCTCTCTTGTTGCTCTGTCTCTCTCGCTCCCCTAAGACACACTCCGGGAGTGCGAGAGAGACAGAGCGAGGTATGCGGGGGTCGAATGCTCGGCTTGTCGGGGAACCTCTGTGAGGTGTGACGCTGTGGATCCACAACGAAAAGGCTGGACTTCCTGACACAACCTCCACGTTGTGGATCCACAAGGTTGTAAATGTCGTCTGAGGGGTTGTAGATGCCGTCTGGGAGGGAGGGATAATGAGGGTTTGACTAGGGTGCGACAGCTGCGTTGCCGCGCCAGCGAAAAATAGGAAAACCATCGACTGGAGTCGTACCCGGGCCGGTAGATCACCAGCTCGTCGCTTTTACCACTACGCTAGCGAGGCGGCTGAGAGGAGACGGGTCCAGCAGCGCCAACTATCCACCGGCCCATCCGGCAGCTGCCTCGCTGCCTCCCCCCTCATACCCCCTCTCCGCCGCGCCACGCCACTGCCCTGCAAACCACCTCTTCATTGAGTTAAAAAAAAACTTTCACTTGGGTTTTACTCTGTTTGAATAAACCGTCTTTTGCGCTGGTTTTGCTAATGTTGACGTTTATCAAGTTAGCAGACAGGTGAGCAGCTGCAGGGGCCACATAACCTTACTTTCAGGTATCTTCCCACCACTAGAACTGAAACATTCTTTTACGCATTTCTTCTAGCGCAGTGCTTGCTACGCTTGGCTTCAAGCATAGTTTTTCGTTCCGCCCATGTCTCGCCTTTCTATATGCTTTGGAGAATTTCTCCTATACAATTTATGCGTTGGCGCTGCTCTCGCAGCCAAAAGCCGAAAAAGAAAAAAAACGAATGGTCAAACATGGCCATTTCACCAGACCGGAAGCGCAAATGTGCTTTTGAACGAACCCACGTGATATTTTACCACCGCGTGGTCAGCAATGGCCAGCAGTTGTGTGGAGCGGTACGATGCCGTATACTTCGCAAGGATTACGTGGTTTCATTGTCGGGCTGCGACAGCAAGGCTTGTCGTATGCCGCGATCGCTAGACGGCCTGAGGTGAATGTGTCAAGGGAAACCGTACGGCGGTGGTGCAGACGTTTCCGTGATGAAGGCTTCGATGGCCTTCCGACGAGGCACAAGACGGGAAGACGCAGAGTGACAACGGCGGAGCAGGATGCCGAAGTGCGGGCGTCAGTTCTGGCCCAGAATAGAAGGCCAACAAGAGCCATCGTCAGGGAATTGCTGCCGGAGAATGAGGCCAGCATGTCCACTATCTACAAGAGGTAAGTCCACAACACTGTGATGTTTTGACTTCATGTCGGTTAGATGGGGTAAACTGAAGTTTATTTGATTACGTCAGCCTTCAATTCCCAGTTCATTTCGAAGGTGATGGGTATTCAGGGCAAGCCCTGCCAGAAATGCACTCTTGGGTCGGAATTTACCTCAGTTACCCGGGTTTAGGTAACTGTTAAACCACGCGCCGGGGCGTGTTGCACTGGTTGTGCCTTCGAGTGTGGAATCGCGTGTAACTTCGTTAGGATCGCAAAGCTTCCTGAGCGCCCTGAGGCAGTGTAGTGTCGGACCGAAATTTACCTCAGTTACCCGGGTTTAGGTAACTGTTTGAACACGTGTTGGCGCGCATTGCACTGGTTGTGCCTTCGAGTGTGGAATCGCGTGTAACTTCGTTAGGATCGCAATGCTTTCTGAGCGCCCTGAGGCAGTGTAGTGTTGGACTGAAATTTACCTCAGTTACCCGGGTTAAGGTAACTGTTTGAACACGTGTTGGCGCGCATTGCACTGGTTGTGCCTTCGAGTGTGGAATCGCGTGTAACTTCGTTAGGATCGCAAAGCTTCCTGAGCGCCCTGAGGCAGTGTAGTGTCGGACCGAAATTTACCTCAGTTACCCGGGTTAAGGTAACTGTTTGAACACGTGTTGGCGCGCATTGCACTGGTTGTGCCTTCGAGTGTGGAATCGCGTGTAACTTCGTTAGGATCGCAAAGCTTCCTGAGCGCCCTGAGGCAGTGTAGTGTCGGACCGAAATTTACCTCAGTTACCCGGGTTTAGGTAACTGTTTGAACACGTGTTGGCGCGCATTGCACTGGTTGTGCCTTCGAGTGTGGAATCGCGTGTAACTTCGTTAG